ACAAAGTTTGTTCGTTTTGATTAGAAATTCGAAAACTCGAAAAGGCTGCTACGCGTTCGAATTGCCCACGGACGTCTTTCACGAATGCTGGCGACGGGGATGCTCAAACTTGGTTCTTGGAGTGCATTCACTAGAAGCTCTTTCTGGCCTTCTGCTTCGTTGCATTCACATCTTACACTTCTACTCCATCCTATTCCATCGATCGATTTGTCTCCACTCTCCGAAATCGCGCGCTTTAACCCGATTCTCTCATTGCGTCGCCTGGTACGTAGCCGGCCAAACGCCGTCTTCTTTCCATGCCTCGCCTGGCTCTGCCTCCTGGTCCTTCGATGGTCCATAACGTGTAGTTTTTGTACGTTTGTTTCTCTTCAGAAACCGAATCTTCATGCGTGAAACTTTGTGTGCTATTTCCAGTGATAAGAATGCAAGAACTTTCCGCGTGAGATTCCTTTAAAGGAATCTTGCGGAAAATTCTTGCACTCTTTCCTAACATGAATATGTCAGTTGTGATCACTGGAAACAGCACACAAAGTTTCACGCATGAAGATTCGGTTTCCGAAGAGAAACAAACGTACAAAAACTACACTCTATGGACAATCGAAGGTAATTCGGGCGGAGCCAAAGGCGAGGCATGGAAAGAAGTTGGCCTTTGGCCGGCTACGTATCAGGCGACGCAATGAAAGAATCGGGTTAAAGCGCGCGATTTCGGAGAGTAGAGACAAATCGATCGATAGAATAGGATGGAGTAGAAGTGTAAGATGTGAATGCAATAAAGCAGAAGGCCAGAAAGAGTTTCTAGTGAAGGCACTCCAAGAACCAAGTGGAAGCATCCGCCGTCGCCAGCATTTGTGAAAGACGTCCGTGGGCACTAATGAAGTGGGGTTGTGGAAAGGCACTTATACCTTATCAAATATAATCATCATATCTAATGTAGGATGGTGGCCTGATTAGGTATGAGTGCCCTTCAGCAACTCCGCTTTGACTAGATATTGTCACTTCAATCAGATATTATGAGGGTCCCCGCCATTCCCTCACCCACAAACTATAATACATTTTGATCGGAAGATCTATCGACCGCATGAATAATTTTTGTCGGACAGCAAGTCTTCACAGAAAACACATAGTTAGCTCAAGAAAAGGGAATTCATCGGCTGCCAGAGATTATATATGAACATGTCATACAAAAACGATTAGCCATTTCTTCTCTTTCTCTCATTTTTTCTTCATTTCTTTATTTCACTTGTTTTAATTTTTCCCCAAGTTACACCTTTCCTTTAACAAGTTGTGCAAGTTATCCAGCTAATACCTTTGTAAGTGATGCTTTGGGACGCCACCGTCAAACGTCGCAGTGCAACTTCGGTTACTGATCCGATCTGAAAAAGAAAATACTTTTTATGCCTAAGGTAATGAGCTCGATCAACGATTGCCTATTAAACTCACATCGATGATTACGGAAACAGCTAGAAGTCCTCGTGGCTGTGTAACAGCTTGGCTATAATTTGTATACAAATCTACATTGTACGCTAACAGTTGAACCTGGAAAAAGAAATGAAGGAGAGTGGGAAAAGTAGGGCGGAGGTGGAGAAATGCTACTCTGAGAGGCACATTCCTTGAATGAAGAGGCGTGAACTGTTGCACTCGAAAATGAAGGCACTTCTGGTAATTGGCTCATCAGTAGTGAAGCAGGACCAAAAAAGCTGCTTAAAACCGGAAGAATCATATCGCTCGATGGACGTGGAAGAGGGTTTTGCTCTCCCCTCCGGGAATCGTATTGGTTTGCTTCTGCTCTTGGTATGAAGAAATACAGTATAGTAAAGTAGGAAATAGAACCAACCTAATCCAGGGTCAGACTTTGCGAATCCAGCGATTCGCTAACGAATTGCGAAGCACGAGCGATGCGCCAGTGGTTCGGACTATGCGCTAACAGTTTGAAAGATGTACCAGCGAACGAATGATGTACGAACGACTAGGCCGTGTTTAAAAAAGTGGCAAGAGTCCTTCTCGTTTGCATGTTTACGCTTGCCACTTTCCTGCTCTTTGCTGCCCTCTTCTATCCCATGCTCACGTGAGCATGGGAAAGTGGCGAGACAATGTGTGAAGGAGAGGGACTTCCGCCACTTTCAAACACTGTTCAATCTTTGGTACATCCTTCAAACGGCTGGTACATATTCTGTTCTTTCTTGTTCTCGTTCGACGTGTAGGTGCATCGTTCTGAACTGGCGTATTGCTCGCACCCCCCCCCCCCCGATTCGCTAGCGATTCGCTGGATTCGCAAAGTCTGACACAGTCCGGGCGCCCGTGGGAGGAGGGGGAGGGGCGGTGTCGCGCTAACAGGGATTACAACAGTGAAGTTTTTGTTCTTTTCTTCTCCAGCACCGTAACCCACACCTATTCAATCGCGGAAAAGCCTCCAACGTACCTCGGCCGGGAATCCTTACGCGATCCACCGTATGTTCGGACCCTCGCTCACCGTCTGGTTGACCAAAATGCATGGAGATCTGTGGAAATGAGCCATCACCATTTGAGCAGTGTTCCATCAGAAACCCACAAAAAATAAGGTCTTAATACCTGGTGTAATCGATATCGATACGGCGAGGCTGGCCCACCAGTGATATTGATTGTGTTTTTGGACAGAGTCTCATTGATTGTAATTATTGGTAATTGACCAATGTTTTCAAATGTACCTTCCACCTGAAATATAAGATGAAAAAAATGAGATTATGGTATTCTGTGAAAATTCACGAATAAATGAATATATGAAATATTTAGATAATTTTGGGGCAAACTGAATCCATAAAGATCCATATTATTATGATTCAAGGG